GATCAAAAATACATCATAGACGAATTTCTTTGTCTTTTTGCATGTTAGAAACGGAGTTGGCGACACTAAGACTGCAATATAATGTTTATGTGGCATAATACATTTTTTAAATGTCGCCAGTACCGATAAAAAGACCGATAATGTCAGAGCTTAACGGTACCACGGTCTTTAATCATTCAGCCCCGGGGACTTTTAATACCGGGGCTCGGAACCCATCCCTAAGCGTATGTAAAAGAATTCACATCAGTGTATTATTGCTGCAATACAACGAGTTAAAAAAAATCAACAAATCAGGACCAAACTTAAAACCATTATCTAAAGTGGGAACGTTAGGGTATGTTTTGAACAGCACATTAAGTTGACGAAACATTCAAATGTAATTAATGGCAGGTCTACTTGTGTTTTAGATGGGGCAGTGATTTTATAAACCTGTTAGTTTTTGCATTCACACAGTTGGAGATCTGTCTTTGCCAGCTGTTTTCCCTATGTTGAGTATAGTCCCGTCAGCTTAGATGATGTGTGTTAACTCATAGATTTATGAGGTTTAACTTCATATTTTGCCCCACTGCCTGCTCGCTTGTTCATGTCTGTGATTGGTCAAATGCTGCTAGCCCCGCCCCTTTCATGTGAATGGGCTGGTAGCCGGACTGAGAAACCCTGCCTTTACTTACAGAGTTCATAACAGCGTTGTTGGACAATTTAGCTAGATTGCGTTTGTTAGGCTTAGTTAAGCCAAATAACAAAAAGATATCTAAGGTATGTTGAACTGGCTTCGTAGTACAGGCCCTTTGCATTTCATATGCAAGTAAACGTCACACTGATTCATAAAATAGTGATCTTTTAATGTATGCTACCTGGTATTTTAAAGAAGGGTTATTTATTAGCTAGCGTTAGCAAATGGCCAGGGATCACAACATACAGTTCAGTGACAGCAAGAACAACCTTATGAATAATGTAAGACAATATTCTTAGATTTTCTGCATCACCATTTAAATGCAGAGTTTGTTTGGCAAAAAAAAAGCTGCGAGTAATTTTGTAGTTGCATGGCTCCATTCTATGGCATTACTAGGACTCAACAACTTAGCATGAATAACGTATCCCCTCAAACATCATTCATGGAGAATAATACAAATAATTAGGAAAAGCTATTAGTCTATTTAATAATAACTTTCTCACTCTTAATAGAACCTCTTAATGTTTCTCTAGGAATAGGCAAGAATCTTGATGCTATCTTCAAAAACGTTTAATACCAAAGAAGCTTTTAGAGCCGATTTCAATCAGAAACATTAAACCTGTTCCAGACCAGATTAGGTGTGCAGCATGAGTTACCATGGCGATTTAGCCATGTTAAAAGATAGCCACCTTCTAGAAAAGAGAGCCACCTTCTTTTAAACAGAGACGATCACTATAGTACCAAATACTGACAAAACCTGTAAACAGAATGAGCACTGACCATCGTTTTTAACGGCTCCTGACATTGACAAAATATTTTATAAAATAAAACAAGGGATTAACCTTAATAAATATTTTGTTAAATTGAATTGCTTTTTTTCCAAACTTTCGATGTGTACTTTGGTTTCAAAACAGCTTCTACCAAGCAGAGCTATAATGTATAACAACAAATATATATGACCATTTCAAGATTTTATTTGCACACAGATTCTTTAATTTCCTAACACTGTCAATGTATTTACACTCTTATAACATTGCTGCAGCTAAGAATATCAAGAGGTAACTTTGTAATAATTGGAAATAACAACTTAAACTTGTTTGTATTTTATTAAGAATAATCCATGATGATACATTCAAAATGGTATCTAAGTAGACATTATCGTACTTTATTTACCAATGTCAACAGTCTTACATTACTTTAACATACATATGTGCACTATATTCTAAACAGATTGCACAGATGACAGTCCCATCTGTGTATAATATATATTGCGGAAAGAATCAGCACTGTTTGCAATTCAGGATTTTAAAAGCTGTTGTGAGTGTATTATTGAAAGAAATACAGTTCCCTAGATACATTAACATCACAATCTCTTCAAATCTGTATGAATCTGATTTATCTTCAGCGTATTGACAGTGAGAAAGATGTTTGTGTAAATTGTAAAACTGTTTATTGGACAGATAATGACACATTTTCCTTGTGTCTTCTCAAACCAAGGTGGCATTTTTGTATCACTCCCTCTGTTGCTACGACAAGAAGCTGCTTGAAATGACACAGAGCAGAATATACTATCAATTTGAAACTCAGCTTATTTTTCCACTAATAAGTAAGTGGTCGACAGTTACAATAATTGGAATGGATGGAATTATTCTTACCAACTGCCACATACTTCAGCTAGCAGTGTCACAACTGGAGAAAAAAAACATGATCTATTTGTTATTTTCATCATAGTAGGCATCCATTTTTCTGACAGTTAATTTCCATCATCATTGCATAGAGTAGACTATCACGGTCTGACTTTGAAGCTCCTCTCTTACATAAATGCATAAGAATTTAAAAAAGACGGTTGTGCAGCCCGAACAGATTCAGACAGACTGACATATCTATGGTGACTGTCACCAAAGGAAGGACAGCAGAGGATGATGGGTAACAGGAAATGCTGCCAGTGGCTGCCCATCCATGACGGGAATCAAAGCGGATAGACAGGAAAAGAAGTGTCTGTGTTTTGTTTTGGTGTGAGTGAGGAGATACCTAACATTGTGAGTGTAGGTTTGCATTAATAGCAGCAAACAAGCTAAAATGTCTCTAATGCCCCTAATCATGGTGACGAAACGGGTCGTATCCGCTACAGTTCTCTATCTTATAGACCAGGGGTCTCCAACACGTTGATCGCGAGCCCTCAATAAGTAGCTCGCCAAGCAAATCCAAAATGTAAAAAATACACAGAAAAAAAAGGAAGGTAATTAAAAGAATCTACCCTATGCATAAACGAAACCTCAATCATAGCGAACTCTATCTACTTACTACAACTCTATATCTATCTAACACCCCTCCTCCCCCCACCCCCACAATGAATATCGACCAATCACGTTCTTGCTTGATTTGCGGGACCAGCGTTGCAGTCGGGAAGAAAAGCAATGTGGAGCGGCAGCTCACCGCTTCATAAGGAGTTTAACCTTGACACTTTTCGAAATCCCGTTTGAAATCCCCTCGCCACGGAGGAGCACACAGCCTCTGTGAGCGAGAGAGAGACAGAGAGAGAGAGAGAGAGAGAGAGAGAGAGAGAGCACACCTTTATCTATTTAATATAGATAAAGTAAGAAATCATTCCAATGTGTACTATAGGACAGTAAAAAAAGAAAAAGGGGAGTGATTAGTAAAATAAGCATAAATAAAAAGAGAGAATGCTAACTAGGTAACATAAGATAAGAATAAACAAGTTTAAATGATTTGTTATTGGTTGTGATCATATTCTAAAGATGTTTGGATTATTGAAAAGTATACAGCTCCCTTTCATCTGAGTGTTGAGAGATGTATCCATACATTCATTTTGTGCTCAAAGTGCTCCAGATTGATGCATTTCACTTCAGCATTTAAAAATAATCTTCCCGGGGGAGCATGCCCCCGGACCCCCCTAGAGCAGTGGTTCTCACAGGAGTCATTTGGGGGGGCTCTTGGGAAAAAAGGTTGGGAACCCCTGCCCTAGAGGATGTGAGGTCCACCCCCAAATAAAGCAGGTTCAAATAATTAGATTGCATACATTTTCTTTTAGTAAACACTGAAAACGGGTCCCAGAGACCCAAACAGCACACAAAGGTTAAAGGTAAAAGTAGCTCACGACTTGTTTTATTTTTTGAAAGTAGCTCTCATCCTAAAAAAGGTTGGAGACCCCTGTTATAGACGGTTCGGCCACACAAGGCCGACAGGGAAACGCGGATAACGATAACGATAACGGGTCCCAAGGTGGGTAGATCTGCAGACGCAACGCTCTGGGGGGCCAAACGGCTCCGTGATTACGCCCTATACGATCATTTCCTGATAACGAAAATACTGACGGGCTGTCAGGAGAGGGGGAGGAAAAGAGAGACTCTGTATATTATTCTTATATTATTATATAGAGTCGTTATTCATTTGTTTTAAAGCTCAATAAATAACAAAGAAGACCTTTGACCGGCACTTTTATAATTTTTTTCCGGAAGATTTAAACTTTAACGTTTAACTTTAATGTTGACCGGCGGAAACAAATTCTAACGGAAACTCTGCCACACAGTTCCCTCGTCCCTTGGAAGAGGTGGAGAGGTGGGTGTTTTTCATCAGCTGGTTTACTACCGGGGAGATTTACTGCTGGAGAAAAAGAGAAAGAGCCAGAGCCCTGCCTCTCCCCACCTCTGCTGCTAAATCCATCACGGAGAATAAACAGAAGGGCAACCATGGCAACCATGCATGCTCGTGAAGTCTTCTTCGCTGCTTTTGGTGTATTTTGTGGCGGAAGTACAGCGCCACTTACAGGCCTGGCATATGTACTACAGCGTCTCCAGCTTGTCGTGCGGTCTCGTGTGGAAGGACGCGTTTCTGGTGCCTATTGCGTGTGGACGGAAGACTTTTTTGATATCGAATTTGGTTCGTTTTCGTTTTCGTTTCCATGTGGCTATGGCCTTAGCCCCCTCATATGTTTGACCATGAGTTAGGGCTGCTCAATTAATCGTATTTTAATCGCAATAACGATTTTGGCTTACAACGATTATGAAAACAACATAATCGAAAAATAAAACAATTATCTTTTTTATTTATTTTTTATTAATTTTTGTTATTGGTTTTTCAGTTGAATTATACTTAAAGTTCAGGGTAATCAACTGTTTAAAACATACTGTTTTTTTTTTCAATAAATGGATGTTTTCAAAGTAAATGGATAATCGTTTTTAATAATCGTGATATCAATTATTGACCCAAATAATCGAGATTATGATTTTTGCCATAATCGAGCAGTCCTACCTTGAGTGCTGGAATTTATGTGATTACTAAATATTTCTTGTGATTTCCTTTGCAGCTCTGATATCTGCTGGTTGCTGCACCAATTCCTGTCGCAGTGTAAATCTTTGGGACAGGTGAGTCACATACATGTTAGCTCGATGAACCCATAGTTACTGCATTAACTATTTCCAGCATAAAATTATTTTAGAAAATGTTTTTGGTTTACTGTTTAGCTGTGAAATGCTTTGTCAGGCTGGTGGCATGTGATTGGTTTTGTCTAGACTGTTTTCAGGTTGAAAGCAGGGTAAAATATCCCTATTTTTGCAGATAAACGATAAAAATATTTCTACTATTGTCTTCGTTCCCCCCTCTTACTTTGGTGTTCGTGGTCAAATTTGACCGGTCCTGTTTTAACTGCTATTACATTAACACAAAAAACATTAATCATCACCAAATGTAATTTAACACCCTTTCAAACTGTAAATATTGTATCAGACTACTGGTATACATGAAAAACTGCAGTAAATATACAAAGAATAGACACTGAACATGTATTGCGTGTGCCAGGTGTGATTCACATGGGGGGATTGGGCACATAAGGGGGGGAACACATCTAGAGTGTGTGTGTGTGTGTGTGTGTGTGTGTGTGTGTGTGTGTGTGTGTGTGTGTGTGTGTGTGTGTGTGTGTGTGTGTGTGTGTGTGTGTGTGTGTGTGTGTGTGTGTGTGTGTGGGTGTGTGTGTGTGTGTTTTATCTGATCCGGATGGTTACTAATTCCTTTTCTTTATGCCGGTCATTTTTGACCGGGAACACCATGGGTGTTACAAAGTTGACTAAATCATCCAAAATTCAATGAAAGTGGTGATCAGCAATTTTATATGTTCAAATGTCTAATGTGAAGGATATCATAAAGCCTTGAAGCAATCGAATCTAAAACAAAAAAGTTGTGATTGATGAAAGTAGTAAATCGGTCAGATTTGACCCGAAGACAACAGGAGGGTTAAACATTTTTAAGCGATACATAGTAAATGAAGCAGACTATGATTCATATTTGATCAGTGTTGACCTTTATCACATACATTGATTGACACTGTATTAAAAACTCTCCTCTCTGATTGGTCGTTCTTTTGGGCGAAGTTAAGGAGGAAAGAGAAAAACATGATTTTTTTATCTAATACAAAAAACAATACTGACTTTGGAAATGGCAATATCCCCCTCAAAGCCCCGAAAACTTAATTGATGAGTATTGCTTTATAATATAAAATCTTCAGAAAAAAACAATGACTGATCAAAGTTGACATTCGGAAAACATCTTTACTGCATGCGTGTGTGTATTTGTGTGTGTGTGTGTGTGTGTGTGTGTGTGTGTGTGTGTGTGTGTGTGTGTGTGTGTGTGTGTGTGTGTGTGTGTGTGTGTGTGTGTGTGTGTGTGTGTGTGTGTGTGTGTGTGGGTGTATGAGAGGTCACCCTGGTGTGACCCATGCCTTAATGGTTTGGCCTCAGGGTGAGTGATGGCGCTGGGTTAATATTTAACGATGAAGCAGTTCCTAATGGCTGAATAAATCATCCTCCATCTTTACCTGGAAAGGACAGATCTCTGCATTCTGCTGACCACAGGCTCCACTCACACACAGAAAACACACACACACACACACACATGCAGTAATTGCTTGGTTTCCTTCTTGTCTTTCAGCTTTGATGCTTCCTGACCATGACATGCCTCTTGATCAGATGCTGCTGCAAAAACACACACCCAGAGGACCAGAAGGAGGGTTGTTAGCGAGATGGAAGGAAAGAAGGACAAATGGATCGAGGCATATATGGAGAAATTATAATGAAATTCTAAATCAAGCAGTGAGGGCCAGTGAGCAGATGATAAAAACAAGGTGAACAAAAAACTGGAGACACTCTCTTTGCCCTACTGCTGCTGCTGCTGCTATGCATATCCCGTGGACCACCAGAAAAAAGATTGAATGTTATTATTCGTACAGACAGACACTTGTCACAATGAAGAGAGAAAAATAAATATGACAGCTGAGAGTCTTTGTGTTGCCAACAAACTATTCCTACCTCTTTGGAAAGACAGAGATCGCCTGGATTAAAGAACGGCACTGAGTAAAGTGGAAGTTACAGCCCCACAATTACTACATCTGTAATATGTGTAGCTTAGATGCAACATGTGATGAAGGTATTTTATGAAGTCATTATGATCCTGGAAATAAAGCACAAATAGGTCATTTTAAATATGGTTAAAATGATAAATCTGTTTTATTACATTTCTGGCCAAGCCTCATGCACAGTAGCATTGTAATCACCCAAATAATTGCTGAGATCTGCGAAACGGAAATATTGCTCCAACATTGCAAGAAACTGAGTTCATAAATAGATAGATTTGAGGTTACAATGAAAGTAAGTGCACAAATGTCAATAGTAATCCCTCACTGCACATGAAAACTATGGTCACACAATCCAGTTATTGTTTTAAGCCAAAGTACATTTTCAGCGTTTAAATCTCTGGTGGTGTGGAGTTCCTCTGTTCCTTTTCTGTGCAACAAGGTATTGCTGTATTGACAGAGAATTGACTGCCAACAATTTAAATAATGTCTGAACCAATAATATATTTTTTTACTGAGTGTCAAACTGCCGGTCATTTAGCACATTATGGTTGTGTGACATTGTGGTCAGGATTTTTGACATATTTTAACAACTTACAGGCAAAACTATTTACTGAGAAAATTAAAGATTGTTGTGGCAGCCCTATTTTTGATTTACGATATAACTCGCTAGTTACAGATATCTGATCCCTGTCATCGGAGCTGTATAACTCTCACTGCTGCTTATGTTTCACCAGTGAAAGGCTTTAATATTCAAACGTTTTTATAATACAGTTTTTTTTTTCTCCATCATTAGCAAAGCTTTGTTGAGTGTGCTTGACAATATTTGGACATAATTGGTACTGCTTTGTAAGCAGATCAAGGTTAGCAAATAAACTACACAAAATGTCCAGTTGCAGATTTAGTGAATTTGTGCAAACTAGCACAACCTCCATAAAAGATCAAGGTGCTGTACCTGACATATTCAATGGTTAGAGCTGCTAATGACTTGCCTGTATTAAAGATACAGCATGAATAAGACAAACTGTGGTGGAATTAGAGGTTTCTTTAAAGTTTTACTGAGCAATTGAGTTTATTTTCCCATCGCACTTGTTAGCCATGTCCCTGCATTCCCAGATCTCAGCAATTCATTTAAAGACGTCAACTTAGCCTCTGCCAAGTTGTGTATTGGTAAGTGTTAGTCATTTTAGGCAGAATAAACAATAATGAAGTTAATTGCAGCCCTAATATTGGTGAGAAGAGTGTTATTAGAAATGATGGCTAAACATACAAAACTTAAAGACAGATCGCAATAATCACAAAGTATATACTTGAAAGATTTCAGGCTTACAGCATAATTCGCAAACATAACACAATGTACAATACAGTAACCAGCATTTACCTCCATTTGAAGTAAATACGTTTTGTTGCCATATTTTGAAGTATCCTTAGCTTCTATGTGAAGTTCACTTCCTGTGTATTTATAAGGCCTTTACCCAGGGTGCTGTAACTTTAGGGGTTCCAGAGAGAAGACATATACTGTAGGGATGTGTGGAGGAATTTTAATGTTGTTTATGGAAGGAGAAATGTTTTACTATATATCTGCTTTCATTCTTCATGCTTTTGTGTCAAGGTCTGTTCCTATACTGACAGTGTTAGAGTATCCTAAACCTTGTGTCAGTGTTCAGTCATATGCAGTATACGGTGCTGTGTGTGTGCTTGTCACTTTCCACACTTCCAGGTATTCAAATACAGACAACATGCCTTTTGCAATATTTTGTCAGAGCATGTTAAGGAGATAGTGTAGAAGCCAGAAGACATATATACAACAACACTATGTTTCGGTTTCGTTATCTATGAAAAATAAATGTACAGTCCATTTCTGATAACATATCTAGGTAAACTAAACATTTCCTGATTGATTTGAGAAAAATATCTAATCTTTTTTAGCACAAATGGGTATAAATTGCACTTATTTGTACTTATTAATTAAATTACAGATCTGTTTGTGTACTGCATTACTGCATTCAATCTTGCAGAAGCATTACGAGTCAGATATAATACATTCTTGTTTTTGAAGACCTTCCTAAGTCTTATTTAACCAGTACATGTCGTAACAGTTTTATATTAAAATATTTTGCTGAAAACAGTTGCCATTATTGTCAGTGAAATAAGCAACAGTTTACTAATACAAAGATAACTATTTGGGTCTAATTTTCAAGAAATTGTTTTTCTTGAAGTTTCTAAGTTTTAGAAGGATCTTTTGAGTCTATAACATCTTTAAAAACCAGATTTACTGGGGATGGGTTAGTGGAGCTTTTCAGTACAGGATCCAACAAAAAAACGTAGTGATTAGCAAAACAGAAAAACATACTTTAAATCATCCATTGGTGATCCTCCACATCTCTTGACAGGAAGTTTAGCATTAGCAGGATTAGAATTAGCCAGAAAAAATGAGCTGATTTATTCCAGAATGTTTACTTTATCTTGAGAAAAGTATTTTCAGTTTTGTCACTACCAGATCAAATCAAGTTTTATTTATATAGCACATTTATAAATGATTTTTGGTCGAGCCAAAGTGCTGTACAAAGTTTTGTCACTACCAGATCAAATGATCAAGGTCTGTTGTCTTCATTAAACTTGATTTGTGGAAGTGTGGAACATTATACATTTTACTAGGTGCAGACACAGTGGCTCACAACACACATACAGACTGAAACACATATACATTCATCCTGAATCCATATTGTATAACCTCTTCGCCCTTTCCTTTTTTCTAGATTTGGTGACAGATGAAACAAGTACTAAATATATAATATATTATCAAAGACCTTTATGTTTCTAAAAGTCAAGAGTATATCTGCTTAGTTTTATAAATATATAACTACAGTTATTATTTTTGACTTCTTGTATTATATAACTAATTATTATAACCAGAGATGTATGTATAAGCTAATAAAGTGTCTTTATGTAAAACTGACTCGTGTTCATGTTATGTATTTGCTATTGTTTGTAACGTAGGCTACTCAGAAAGACTGAGGTGAGACACATCTAGGGTTGCAAAGGGGCGGAAAGTTTCCGGGAAAGTTTCCATGGGAAGTTAAGCTGGGGAATTTTGGAAATATTCGATGCAAAATTAAACCAAAAAACATGACATTTCAACAGATTTATTTTATATTTTTTTTAAGTAGAACAGAACAAGTTTTAATTATTTTATTGAACAATTATTTGTTTCATTGAAGAATGAAAACAGGAATGTTGAGTTAAATGTTACTCATCCCCCCCAACCCCACTCATTAAAAAATGAACAAAAATGCACCCCCCATCCAAAAATCCCCACAAAGTCCCATTCAAAATGTTAAATGAAAAGAGCCCTTCTCCCTCCAAAAAGTCCCATTAAACATGCACATCTTCCTTCAAGCAATCCTCTGCATTTTTGCTAAACCCTTTCAGTCAACGGGCTCTTCCTGGGCCTCATCAACATCCAACTCTGAGTCTTCCTCTTCAGTGTCACTGTCCAGCCTTGTTGAGGATGGCTCTGTGTCAGGCTCAAAGAGCCATAGGTTTGCCCGAATGCCAACCAGTTTTTCCACTCTCACATTTGTGAGCCTGTTGCGAACCTTTGTGTGGTCTCAATAGCCATGCAGTAAGCAGTGTGCTATGGCATGGATATTCAAGTGTACTTGAATGGCATCTGTTTGTTTTAGTCAAGATTATGCTAAAATATACTTTCCCCAACTATATTTAAGTTCCCTATGAAGAGCCAACCTTCCATTTTGAAAATTCCCAGTTTATTCCCATAAATTCCCGTTTATTCCCGTTTATTCCCGTGGAAAGTTTCCATCTTTGAAAATTCCCGGAATTTTGCAACCCTAGACACATCATCTATTTCATTAGCCTGTGCATAAAATGTTGAGCTTAACATAGTAGCTCATTAGCCTAGCTTAGCATGAAAACTATAGGCAGGGTGATACACCAATGCTGTGTCTCTAAAGAGTCGTACAGGAACAAATCCTAAAACCCGGTAATAAGTTAGCATTTTGCAATTTCCGGATCTTCATCTCTAAGTTAGCATTATTTTAAACTTGTTTTTCAGTAGGAGCATGAAATGTGGCGTCTAACCATAGTCTTTGGTTAATACAAGCTGAAGAGATTTTCTCGTTTTTTTCTGCAACACAAAATATGTCAAAATACCCCACCTGTGAATGTTACAAGCTCCTATCTTCTAAACTGCGGTTGCTAACAAATACACTACTAAACATCATCACACCAAATGAGTGCGCCTTTAGATTAGCGGAGGTGACGCGCAACCATAAAATACTTATGCTTTTGATACAGACACGCAACGCACCCTTAAGCATCTGAATGAGATGCATCGGCCTTTCAACTAACTCCAATTTAAACCCATCTGCTTGAATATAAATGTTCATTTTCACAGGCGTTTTTAAAGAACCCAAAAATCCACGGAAGTTAGCATTGCAAGTGCTACCTTGATGGGATTTTGCCATTGCATTTTGGAACATTGCAGAAAATAGAATATGTGGCAAACACACATTTATGATTCTTACATGTTCTGTTCAGCAGGATATTCTCCACATACTAACTATTAGGATATTTGAAGTGTAAATCCAATCAGTATTGACTTCATGTCACCACCGCTAAGCTAAAGGCGGCTAATGTTCAGAGTGATGACTTTGAGCAGGGGCGGACTGGCCATCGGGACGTTAGGGACGAATCCCGATGGGCCGGTACTGAAGTGGGCCGGTCGGACGATGTGGGCCGAACCCCCCCCCCCCCCCGTCGACAATTTACTAGCGCTATTTACTTGCGGTACTGAGGTGGGGCCGGTCGAGAGTCCCGGGCTGATTTGTAGTCCCAGTCCGCCCCTGACTTTGAGTAGTCTCTTTGAGTCACTTGTCAGCAAACCCTTTTTGTAAGACATGTAGAAGCTCCAAACATTCACAAGCAGGGAATTTACTGACCTAATATTCAAAGGTGGTCAATTAAGAACCAAACTAATTTACTCTATGCTAGTTTAAGATCAATGTGCCCTGTGGCAACACACTTTGTTTATGATGCATATACTGCTGCCCGATCAATAACAGTACTTGCTATGTCTGTTCTGTGTTTTTATGGTAGGTAAATCAGGCATTCTTTATTTATTTATATTCAATTATAGCAGCAGTGTATGTGTATTTCTTCTGTATGTGCGTGTGCTCTGTACAGTGAACAGATGGCTGGCTGGCTGCCAGAGGAAATGGTCCCCTATTATTTATTATCTGGGATGGCAAAGGATCAAACTAATTTGAATACAAGCCACCCACACAGCACAGACACACACACACACACACACACACACACACACACACACACACACACACACACACACACACACACACACACACACACACACACACACACACACACACACACACACACTAGAGGAGGTGACTTGCTTATTAAGTTGCGTCACTGTAAGCATATATAAACTCAGTTTCTTCTTCCAATATAAAAACATGCACCACCATGTTTCCACCATACATAGGGGTTGTATATTCACTACACAGTGTTGTATAGACTTGCCTGTATAAAAATAAAAAAAGATTACTTAAACGTATATTGCGCCTTTCATAAATACCCAAGGACGCTTAAAGTATGTACACCTTTCTAGCATTTCATCCACTCTTAAGTGCTTTTGCAATACATGCCTACATTTCACCATTCACACAGGA